TATTGTCGGAAAGTCCTTTAGAGTCTGAAATTCATCGGTAACAGTACACTATCGTGTAGCGTTGTATATGAGTGGATGGAGAAGTTTAAAATCAGCTGGACAAGCGTGGCGCACGAAGAATGAGTCGAGCGCCTATTTTTTCTACCACTTTTAGAAGCTCACAGTGAAAATGGCAAACCGGCGAGTTATAATCGATGGGGTAGCATGTTCTCTTCAAATTTGGATAAGGATTTTTTCCTCCTTGGTTCGCAATTTCTAGCGGAGATATATGATTAACGCTGTAATAGCCAAAGAAAAACTTTTTCTTTTTTTCAAGCTTTCATATTTATCTCGCGTGACCACAATAATTTGTGTCTTATAGGCAAATCAGATTAGAAGAAAAAATTTATGACAAACCAAAATGATATGTTATCGAACATTTAATTAATTTTTTTAATTTAATTACCTTTTTACATATGATAGATAGGTCGGTAGATTATTCATTCTTCATTTTCTTAAATTGGCATTGATATATATAGCTAGATAATAGATTCTAGCTAGCATTCGGTCCCAACTAGGCAGATTGATAGATAGATAGATAGATGAAAATTTTTATTTGCGAGAGATATATGTAGGGGTTATATTAGAGCTCATTCTAGGGATGAACGGATTGACATAGATATGAACATAGAAGGGATGAAAATAGAGAAAGGGACTGAGAAAGATGAATGGATTAGATAGATAGATAGATAGATAGATAGATAGATAGATAGATAGATAGATAGATAGATAGATGGATGTGAATAGACTGAACTAGATAAATATACAGTGAGATATGAACAGACTGGATTATATATATGTACCTACATAGATTCGCTAAAAATGTGTTTACATGAGGAAAAAAATGCCCAAAAGTTAATAAAACAAAGTTTTATCGTCAAAATACTTATGTTCTTATGAAGATGTAAAACCAAATGTTTTTTTTTGTTGTTTTTTTTTTATCATTAATTCTTTTAAAATCATTTTTAAAACATTCAAAATTCTGGCCATAAATTAGTATAGAAAATTCTATCGCCATTTTGCGGTGAAAAACACGTTGATTTCAAAATTCTTCCAAAAATCAAATAATTGTCAGTCTTTAATGTAAATTTCAGGACCTATTTACAAATAAATTAAATTAATTTAGGAATGTTTTTTTTTTATTTCAAAAATCTTAGTAAAGATATTTTTTTTTTTTCACATTTGTTCTTCCTCCACTTATTTAATTATACGGAATTTCGAGAAATTCATTTTTGTAGCGCATAATGCTTATATTAACGATATGAAGAAATCATTGGAGAATTCAAATCATTAATATTTTTTTTTTTAAGGGGGTTCCTTTTTTACAAAAATCGGCTGCATTCATAAAAAAAAATAATTAGAAGGTTTTTACTTGCTTCTACGCATAAAATAGATTATGGACATAAAATTTTCGATTAATAAGGAATTTTGACAAGAATAATTTAAATATTTTTTTGGAATTTTAATGACAGTAATTTATAAAGTTTTAAATCTTTTAAATTTCTGTATTAATGTTTAGCGGGTAGATGATATTGTTATTAAATAAAAACTCAACCGTAAATGAAAAAACTTACAATTCAGTAATCATCAATATTTTAAAAAGAATTTGTAATATTTTTTTAAAGTCTGTGTGTTTTATCTATCAGTTTGTGTTATGTACTATATGATATACGTACGTGCAAAGTCTGTATGAACGTGTCGATTTTTGTAAATATGGACGTACGTATATGAACAGAAACGGTAACTATAGTAAGTTTAAGGCCAAAGTACCTTAAACTCAATAAAACATTAGGTTAATTAGAATATTTTCTTAATTTTTTAATATTACTGGGTAGTTGAAACATTACATAAAAAGGCGTTTATGTTATATTTTTCAAATAAATCCCCCTTTAGAAAAAATTCCCAAACATATGTCTATTGTGACAGTTGTTTCGTAAAAACACGCAACTCTGTATTAAAAAAAAACAAAAAAAAAACGCTGACGTGAGGCGCGAAGAAGGTGCAGGGCGCCCAACTACCTTCAGCGCCAGCTCGAGATATGGTAATGGCAAACAGGGCGAGTTACCATCGAGTTATCACCAATGAGGTACCATGTTCTCTGCAGATTCGGATCACTGCACTTAGCCGCTCCTTGGTGCAAACTGCTAGCGGAGCGACCATGTTTATACTGTAACAACAGCAAGAAAACTGGCGCGATCAAACTCGAACTTCGATCACGTGACCACAAATGTACCAATCATAAGCACGGACGAGGAGAAAGCAGTGTGACAAACCTAAAGATATCTTTTAGAGAAAGTACGGATAATTTTTGACTTACCATCATAGATAGATAGATAGATAGATAGATAGAAGTGAACTGAGATTGATAGAAGTGGACTGAGATTGATAGATCGATATAAGCGGACTGAGACATATACACCGATATAAGTGGGCCGAGATAGATAGATAGATAGATAGATAGATAGATAGATAGATAGATAGATAGATAGATTTACAGTTTTATGGAGCAACTCAAGAAACCAACAATGCACTTCATGCTCAAATACATTTCTGTCACATGAGAAATGAGTCAAGCTATTTTTTTTTTTATTTTATATTTCTTTAAAAAGAATTAACATTATTAGAATGTGCGTTTTTTTAAAAAAAAAAAATTGTTTTCTTTCTAAGTAGGATGATTCATTTTTTTCCTTCTTTAAATACATGAAGAATTTAAAACATGTGTTTCGTTTGTACATGTTCTTTGTTATTTTTAATACTATTTTGACAAGAAAAAGGAAATTCGTGTGTGTCAACAAGTCATCTACGAACTATGAAACAATCGAGTCTATCTGATATATATATATATATATATATATATAGGTGTCATTCTATAGATCGAATTCTCTGTCTCATTTGTCTAGATAGCTATCTAGCTATCTTAGTGTCTTCACTTCTCTCGATCTATCGTAGTCTTTTCACTTCTATCTCTCTATTTTAGTTTTTTTCATTTCAACTCTTTATCTATGTATCTTACTCTTTTCACTTTTATCTGTCTGTCTTTTTATTTTCTTCTATCTATCTATCTATCTATCTATCTATCTCAGCCTGTTCAAATCTTTTTCATCTATCTATCTATCTACCTATATCATCTATCTATCTATCTATCTATCTAAGTTTTTATTGCATGAAACGCATCATGGATATCTTATTATTTTCATCCCTATATATTATTTTAACTTAATTTTTTTTTTCATTTTTTTAACAATCTTTTTTTATCTTCTTATTCTTTTTTCACATAATCTATCTATTTCTATCTATCTTCTTCTGATTCTTTTCTATCTCCAGTCCAATTCATCTATCTATCTATCTATCTATCTATCTTTTTATCTATCTATCTATCTATCTATCTATCTCAGTCCGTTTTCATATCAATCTATCTATCTATCTATCTATCTATCTATCTATCTATCATATCCAAATCTATCTATCTATCTTCTATCTATCTATCTATTTATCTCATCTAACCGTTTTCATTTTATCTATCTATCTATCTATCTATCTATCTATCTATCTATCTATCTATCATCACATTCTGTTCAATATCTATCTATCTATCTATCTATCTCAGTCCGTTTTCATATCTATCTATCTATCTATCTATTTATCTATCTATCTATCTATTTATTTATCTATCTCAGTCCGTTTTCTATTTTAAAATTTATATCTTTCTATTTATCTATATATCTATCTATCTATCTATCTCAGTCCGTTTTCATCTATCTATCTATATATCTAACTATCTATCTATCTATCTATCTATCTATCTATGTTCGTTATTGTTGAAAACTTGAATAAAAGCATGGAATAATAATACAACACAAAAATGTACTTAAACAAAATGTATTGAAACAAGAAAGTGTACACAATATTTACAGATAGTTTTTATATTTCTTGGGAAGACTGTTCCTGGAGAATGGGTTGACTTAATCGCAGTCAGGCAGAGTCTCTGGATTGGATCTTTTCTTCCTTCCTCTTCCCGGTACCAACCATATTTATATGGTCGGTACTCCACTATGTAAATTAGGTGGATCCTACCACAACAGTTATCTATCTATCTATCTATCTATCTATCTATCTATCTATCTATCTATCTATCGATCATTCTACCAATCTGTAGTAGTCCTCATGTATTTTTCAGTATATTTATATTTTTTATCATGATACGCGTACCATTGTAAATATAATATCAATCTACAAATTTATATGTCAATATATATATATATATATATATATATATATATATATATATATATATATTGCATATATCATATAAAGCATATATTATTAAATATAACAGACAATGAATGTCTATTATGTCTGATCATAAGCCGTTCTACTGGTGAAAATAAAGATAAAAATTGCCCAGCATTTGGATATTTTTTTATTAAGTTGGTCCTAGGCTTTCGGCTCACATGAACCATCCTCAAAGTGGTTGTTATACAGACGTGAAACAAAGATATCCACCGTCAAAGCTGATATTTTGTTATTTTGACATAGAACATATATAGGAGTAGATAGGTTCGCCTATCATTCGGTTCACACTCTTCCCTGGTATTTTGAACACCAATACACATTTATCCATTGTTTCCTGTTCTTTCTATAGACTTTTTCATTTTCTTTCACTCCAAGTACCCACCACCACTTGCATCTGTGTCATTATAAACTTGCTTGTAGTGAACTGAATGAAAAAAAATATTTCAAACTTTATTATAGTGGGATTTGAAATAGACTCCCTGTTTTTAGTTTTTTTTTTTTTTTTTTAAACAGTGTGCATTATGTCTATCGGACTGCGCAATAAATCTTAATAAAGAATGTGTATCAATAATCTATTCACCATTTCTAGTAAACTAACTTCAATCCGGGAAAATGGCTGACAGATTCGCCGAAATCGTTCGCAACGAAACAATTTGGACAATTTCTCC